AAAAAAAAAAAAAAAAAAAAAAAAAAAAAAGGATTAATAATATCCTTTCCTCATGCACTGGACAGGCACCACTCAGTAACTAAATGCCATGCAAGATAGAAAAATAGACTGCAAACTCACAAGACAAAGAAATCAGAGCTCATTTCCACAGGAGAGGTTGATTTCACTTCAATGTTTTATTTCAGATTTTTCTAAAGATGTGGAAATAGCAACAAAAAAGTAAGAACGGAGAGCTGTAACCAAGACAACAGTAACAACATGAGCAGAGAGCCACTGAGGTTTCCAGTCCCTTCAACCCAACTCTACTGCCCTCTACAGGACAGACATCTTGCTTCTTTTTTTTCCCTCTCCCGCAAACCGCATTGATCTGTGCGCCCCCTGGTGCTCTGTGTGTGTATGTGTAACTGTGTGCCATGTGGCTCTCCTCCCAGTCCCACAGTCTGCAGTTTCTCGGCCCTCCACGCCCTCCTATTAGAAGCCCCCCCGGTGCTTCCGGAGCCGTCCACTGCAGTGGTTGAAATCAGCGGAGGCTGAAGTTGCCGCCGCCCCTCTGACACAGAGAAAGAGGCACTGTGTAGTTTTCTTTGTAAATTTAAATCTACAGTTCAAGTGTGCCTGTCTGGACTCAGCCCTGGACCGTCGAAAGATCTATAGGCAAGAGGGGGATCACAACATCCCCTCAGCACTTTGCTTTGTTATGTCAACCCTCGTGGTTTAGTTTTATCGTTGCCAAATCCCTTCACTCGTGTGCACTAACGGGTCTGCACGCTCTGCCCCCCGCCCCCATTATACACGGAATGAGGACGAGCGCCGTTAGGATTTTGTATTTGGCACCAGACTTGGTTTACCCCTTCCCACTCTTACACTGGTCAGCCATTTTCTGATTCTAGATCACTCCCCTTCTGTTCCATCCATCAAACCAAATTTTAAATAAAAAATAAAACTAGAAGAACTTCCCCCTCTTGTTACGTCTTATCAGGAAACAAAACCAAACTTTATGGAAAAACTTAAGTTTTTATTTCTTTTTTTTTCCAAATTCAAGGCACAATGTCTATCAATATTCCGATCTGTCCATCTTTGCTCTGCATGAACACTGCTTCGCATGAACTACAGGACTGTCTGCTCGCACGCCTGCGGTTCACATCTCTCGTCGGTTCTGCTAACACCGAGACACGTCCGATTTTTTTTTGGTGGAGAGAGCAACGGCCCAGTCCAAACCAGTGATAAACAATGAACAGAATTAACATTAAACAAAAAGGACACAAAGAAAGTCAACCGTTAAAAAAAATAATAAAGTCTTGTCCTGTTTGTGTTTTCAGTATCTTGAGAAATATGCACCAGCTCTCGTTTGGCAAGCTAGTTGAGTTTTTAAATAAGCACTAAGTACTGATAGATAGGATAGCATACACCGTTAACGTGTGGTTTTAAGTAGATGCGTTTGTCGATTTTCTTTTTTTTGTTTTTTTAGTTTTTTATACTTTTTCCATCTCATAGTATGAACTCAGGTATTTTGTCAGGTACTTTTCATCTCTTAAGGTTTAAGTTAATGCAAGCAGGGACACAGTTTGCCATGGAGTCTTGCTTGAGACTTGGGTTCGCGAGGGAGTGGGGGCTCGTCTCCTTATGAGACCCCGTTGACCAAAGTCGGTGTCTCTTTGCTAGGAGAACGCTTTGAGGGCGTTCGCTCCTCCTTCTTTGCACTGGTTCCGTTCTCCTGTGAATGGGAGAGAAATGTTGAGATTCAGCACAAACCAATCTTGGAAGCTCTGTGTTAGAGATGCAACAACAAATCAGCTGTTGACCAGAGACAGAAGATTTTCAGCTTTGTCAACCCTCATCAGCACCTAACCAGTTAGAAACTAAAAAATGTGACATGGAGGCATCGTTTTTAGTGCCAACAATGCCGCTTGATGTGGAAATTACTGTAGGAAGAACTCTCAAAGTTGGCTGTTTTCAAAATCAGTGAGATACTCACTATAGTGGCATAGCAGAAGAAATACTACCATCTGCAGGTGAAGTTAGTCAAATTTGCAATAATCTCATTATTAAACCCGTCACAATGATGGCATGTCAGGGCCATTGTAGATAGAAAAAACAAAGTAAATTTCAGCCAGAAAATTCTGAACTTAGCTAAGTTTAAAAAGTCAAAGAGCTTCGACTAAAACTCAGAAAAATTTTCCAGTTATTTTGAAAAAATGTCTGGAATTAATCTCAAAATTTGTGATTTTTTTTGGCGGAAATTAACTCTATGTGCAATGGCTCTGATACGCAGTAAGTAATTAATCAGATGATAAATTAAAATGAGCTCGATCATTTCCATTCTGATTAATATTTTTTGAAGGACAATTTTGTTTAGTGAGCCTTCATAAGCCATTTTATTTATGGTTTAAGTTGTGTGTGGTTTTTACTTATTTTTTGAACAATTTCTCTTTTCATTTTGACCTAAAGAAAAGCTGGAATCAGAAGTTCATTGGTTAACAAAAGATTGAAAATGAGTCCCAGAACTCTGATTGGTGTGTCTATGCATTTACCTTGGGTTCAGGTCCAGAGTGGTTCTCCTTCTGAGGCAGGTTCTGTCGGCTCTGGGACTCAGGACGGGATATGTAGTCAGCTACGGTCACTGAAAGACATCAAACTGTCAGCTGGAACACTCAGAGGGAGTGTGTGTTGATTCCCTAGAGAGCGCTGCTGCTCACCACTTTCTCCCGGCTGTCTGTCACGACTGGCCGACCCTCCCTCTGGCCGGCTGCCACGGTTACGGCGCCGGCGGCTTCGGTTGCGACGCTGAGGTCGAGCTTCATCGTCTAATCATCAAATCGGCAAAAACTGATTAAGTTCTGGAGAAGTTTTACTTTCAGCCGTCTGCGACACACCAGGTGGTTCTCACCTAGTCCGTTCTCACTGGGGCCGGCCTGATTGTCCGACTCTGTGGCGGCGTCCATCACGCTGGGCTCCTGGTCATTACGGCGCCGGCGGGAGCGTCTGTGGCGGTCCCCCGCCATGCCCTCACTGAGGTCGGCGTCTGCAAGCTCGCCCTCTCCCTCCAGCAGAGCGTACGGGTTGCTGTCTGGATCCCTCAGAACTGACAAGATCACAAATATGACTCAACATTTTTATCATTTGTCTAAGTTAATTCAATAAATAGTGTATGAAATGAAAATCCATATTCTGCAGAACTACCAAGTGACATTTCACACACGCATATGTAAAAAAAGGGGGAAAAATGGTATCTGACAGAATCAGAATTGACAGGTTAGGTTTTTTTTAAGCTCGGTGCACTCCTACTCATCACACATAGCCTTATTACAACATAAATGATTCAAAGTGGAAAACTCCACATATTACAACATAAACTTCAACATAATTTCTTTTACTACACAGTTATTTATTTAATATATTTAGGCATACTAGCACCTGATTGTGATGAAAAATTATTTTATTTTTAAAATTTTTGACAAATTGTAGAGAGAGAAAAAAATCCTGTCTGTCTCTTCCAACTCTGAACATCTAAACTTCATCTGTAAACGTCTGTTTTATGTCCAAAATCTGTGGACATCCATTCATAAATTTTGCCAATTAGATTTAGAGCTGGACTTTGGCCAACCTTAGTATAAATGCTCCCATCTAAACCAGTCCATTATAGCTCTGTCTGTGTGTTTATGGTCACTGAGCCTCCAGCACCGTCACAAGTGTTTTTCAGCTTCCAACTGGTTGTCTTCCAAACCAAGTACATTCATATTCAAAAAATAATATGAATTCTGATGACATTCATCAGATTAAAAGTATATTTTGACCAATTACAACCTATATTAAGCATAATAGCTACATTTATTTTAAAGAAAAATTTTATTGGTCTGATTTTAATTAATATTTTAATTTTAAATTTGCTATTTTAATTAAATGTAAGTGAAAAACCAGAACAGAAATAAAGACTTTCAAACATCCATCTGTGTGTAGTCAGTCTATTTACTATGTTTCATTTAGTGTTAAAGTTCCTAAAATAAATTAACTTTTCAATAACATTCTCATTTATTGAATGGGTCTGTACATTTTACATTCTTTTGACAAAGGTTCTCCTCTTCCATAGAAGCCAGATTTCTTCTACATGAGCCTTGGCTCTGCAGCTCCTCCAGAGTTACTAGGGCGATTGCCTTGAAAAGAGCAATGAAATGTAACATACCTGAGCTAATTGAGTTGGAGGGCTTGGCTGCGGGGCCACCACGACCCCGTCCCGAGTTTGCACCTCGGCCCCTGCCTCCCCGCCTGGAGCCTCTCTCGTCCCCACCGATGCCACGGGGCCTCAGTTCGCGGTCGTTGACGTCCTCCGATTCGGAAGCATTTGATAGTTCGGAGTTTGTGCCTGGGAACAAAAATCAAACATTTATTAACAAAAACAAATGTGTTTTTTTTTAAATAATCAGCTGTAAATCTACAGGGAAAACACTGTTGCATCATATCCAAGTGAAGTGTTTTTGTTCCTTCCATCTCACCGTATCCAGAGTACTGGGTGTTGGAGGCTCTTCGTCCTCGGCCACGCCCGCCGTACGTACGCGAGGCGTGGAGAGAGTTGCTACTCTCGTCCGTCATGTAACCTTTCTCCCGGTCGCCACCGGGCCCTGCGGGGCCAGCAGGCCGGCTGGGGGCCGCGCGGTATCCCACCCCGATCTGACGGAGCTGCTCGTCAATCTGGAGGCGCTCGAGGCGCAGCTGCTCCACCTCCTGCAGAACATGCTGTTATCAACCTCTGTGGTATTTGCTGAACTTATTCAAATACATACTGGAGGTAAAATAAGGTAAACCTCTCTTTATTTGTTTTTAATAAATCTCACCTGTAAAAAAAAAAAAACTAGTTGTTTATTTCTTTGCATTTTCTCATATTCCCCAGTAGGTGGCAGTAACGCAAAAATATTTATAGTCAAATGACTGTTTCCAAGTCTTTAACAAGTCTGAATGAGAACTTTTTACTCCCCAGGTTTTACTCCTTAGAGCAGAACAAACACTAGAAACAAGATGCTTTCATTGTGTTTGTCACTACAGAGATACTTTCTGGACCTGAAGGCAGAAGGAAGTGGGCAGCAGTTCTCTAATGGGAGTGTGACAGCTGACTCCACCAATGACAGCTGGATCCTTATGGGAGGTGAGGGGGAAAAGAGGCAGGGCAGGGGGGGCTTGGAGTTATCTTTGGAAGCTGAGGGTCTGGATAGCCTGTAACCTACACCCTGGTGCACCCTGTAGCCGGCCCCACAGAGAGGAGCTATTTATAAAAGCTCATGAGGTAAGGCCAAAACCAGACTATCAGCAGCTTCCCTCCTGGGGCTTCAGGCCAGCAGGAGACAGGTGACGGGTCTGCAGGCTCACCACTAACAGACTAGTAAGGGAACGCAGTCAGAGTGAAAGAAGTAAACCCCCTGATGCAAACTCAGATATGAGAACAAGGAATGTGCCATTTGAAAATTTAGGCCTATATAGATATCTGATATATACATTGTCATAAGAACATAAGAATAAAGTCATATAACAATGAAGTCGTAACAATACAAGAATGAGGTCGTAGCAACAATATGACAAAAATGTCATAAGATTACAAGAATAAAGTTAAACAAAGTCACATTACCTGAATAAAGATGCAATAAAAGTAAATATTACCAGAATAAAGTTATAATATTAAGTCAAGTTTATTTGTGTACCATATTTCAGCAACAAGGCAGTCCTAAGTGTTTTACATTATAAAATCAGTTGACTATGACATAAGCAATAAACATGATATTTTGCGAAATGTCAACTATTATTGCCAAAATAAGATTCTAATAATACAAGAATACAGTCATAATATTAGAAGAATGAAGTAGTCATTTTATAATAACTTCCACACAAAAAATTAAATATTAAAATGAGGAATGTTGAGCATCTTGTGAAGTTAATAGTTTGCTGTTGGTTTTACAGATGGGACATACTTCATTTTTGTCATCAGTAGCAGCAGTTTGAAGTGATTGCACAAACTGCTGTGTCTATTTTGAAGGAAACCACACAGACTAGACCAGCTGCTCACGTCTCATCGTAAATATCACAACTGAGATCTCAAAATAACTTTGATTGTAATTTTACGACTTTTTTCTGGTAATATTTCATCTTTATTCTACTAATTTGTGGAACACCCTCTGCTGATAGTCATTGGGTGATTTAGGTTTGTTTAAAGATTTCTTCCAAGTTTGCTGAATAACAGCATCCCCACAGTAATATGCTGCCACCTCCATGTTTCACAGTGCAGATGTGTTCACATTGATTGAGGTTAGCTTTGGACCACGCAGAGTTTTTCCATCTACTGTATTTAAGAGAGACAAACTGGATGAACCAACCTGCAGGTAGGAGACATGGTACTCCAACAAGGCCTGAGCATTGCTGATGTTTTCCTTAGTTCCAACAAACACAAAGGGAACCATGCCCTAATGAAGCACAAACGACAAATTCAGGGTTTAATCACGGTGTCGAAAACAAAAAACAGAAACATGTAAATCCATCAACTAATAGCAACAGAACATGAGAGCCACACACTACAAATACAGCTAGCTGTGTGTTGAGAGCCGTTATAGCGGAAGCACTACTGACAGGGCAGGAGGAACAAAGAGGCAGCGTGGAGCAGCAAAGCAGAAGGAATGAGTGGGTGTCAGAGAGACGGGCCGAACGGAGCATTCACCTCTTTGCTGCTGGCAGTGTCGTCTCTGCCAGCCCCCTGCCTGCCTACCTCCTCACGGGGAAGCTTTTTGTCGTTGTCTCCCTCGATCCGGACGCGGACCACGCCCGACTTGTCCACTATCTCCTGGATGACTTTGCCGTTCTTTCCGATGACTTTGCCTGGAAGGAAACGGAAGCAAAGAGCGTCAAAAGCCATATTTGCACGGGACAAACATCATCTGGGGACGCCATGTAATAAATAAATCTCTCCACAACGTCTGCTTTTTATGTGGCGCATTTGCACAGGAGGACTGAATCCTGAGATGTCGCTGAAATTTACATCCATCTCCAAGATATGAAGTTAACAAGCTGTGTTCAGTCAACTTGAGGAATCAGGAGTCGATGTTCAAACTACTTTTCCGGCTGTGGCCACAGCTCAGTGTGCCTGCCAGCTGTATGACAGAAGTAAACCATTCTTACCGTACAGTGCAATACTTGATGGGAGCCACTATTTTGATCCAAATTCCAAAATACTTTATTGATCCCAAAGGGAGATTAAATGTTGTTGTAACTTATATTAAATCAAATTCTTCAGAGTTACTGTTGGCAGGAAAGTTCTATTGAAGCGTTTTGCATTATAAAAATAGCAAAGAATGAAAAATACTGCCATAATCAGTCCAACTACACCATCTAAAACAAGAAGTGATCAGTGTTATTACAGGACCTCAGAGTTCAGCAAAACACAGCAGGGGAATTTTTCCATAAATTACTGACATCTCCGACTGGTACAGGATTAAAAACAGACAATTTGCAATCATTACAAACAGATAAAACTAATCCCATGCAAATACGGCTAAAGCCATCAAATGATGTGAAGGTCAAGCTGCTTCACTCACCTACAAGGTTCCTGGGAACCTGGAAGTAGTCTTCTTTGAACTCCAGATATTCTCTCGCCTGCTTCACAGCCTCAGGAGTCTGAAACAAAAGTCCAGCATCAGAGAGCGTTCAGGGAGCTGCAGCTAACAGCAGCGGCCTCAGTGGGGCGCTCACCTCTCCGTAGATCCTGAAGGTGCAGCTCTCCTCCTCCAGCTCGATGGCCGTCACTCCAGGCACCTTCCTGGCCTGCTGGATGTTGGCACCGTGGGAGCCGATGGCGAGGCCCATCAGGTCCTCTCTGACTCGGACCTCTTCCTGGTACGCTGCTGCTAGTTGCTTACTGGTCTAAGAAAGGGAACCCAAACACAAGCTACATCAGGAAGACTAAAAGTGGACAGGTACGTGTCTCACTGGTTCATTTTATGCTGGTGTTCTGCTCATCAGCTCAGCCACTGACCCCAGAGGCAGTACGGCTGAAAGTCCTTGTGTTTTCCTTTTCATGTGGGCACACTGATTGCAGTATTCTGCCTGATAACCAATGTTTAAAAGCTGATTACAATTTTGTTTTTGTGTGTGAAAAGTTATTTACAATGACTCAGCATCATTGGGGGAACTACTGTTAACACGCTGGGGGCGTGTTGACAGTAGTCAGCCAGTGCCCTCTCTAGGGGACACTGGCTGATTTTCAGAGCTTTGCAGCAGCAGATAAGATCTGTGGATGAGATCGTTTTATGATCTAAACTTCAGCTGGTTGCCGATCTCCCAAAATTAAGAAAATTGGGTCAGTTTTTAGGCTAGCCGATTTATCTGTGCACTCTAAAAATCACAATCTTTGACATAAGGTTATTGGGAAACTGCTACTTCCAAGAATATGAACCAAACTGGAAAAAGAATGTTTTAGGTTTTTTAGCCCCAGATGACAGGAACAGCAGTGAATCTAACCTGTGAGTAAAAGTAAGGCCTGCTTGAAATTTCTGGAGACTAAAAGGTCCAGCATGGTGGGACTGAAGTCCATTTGTTGACACACGGTCATGTGGTTTCAACCGCTTTTGTTTCAAGACCCCCTGAGCTGAGCTCCAGTTAAACCGCTTCTGGTGTTTTGCTGTGTGTGGTTCACAGTAAACACAGCGATCATGATGAGAGGATCGACTATTACATAAGTTCATGAGTTCAGAGGAGGAAATAATGACTGATGAGCTGGAAAACGTCATCTCATTTTTCCATTTTATTGGTAAAAAAAAAAAAAAAGAATGGAAGGAGTCAGAGGAATGTTCTCTGCATCAAACCAGAACCGGGCAGAGGGATTTTAAGGTTTCAGTACGTACTTCCTGAACGTTCTCTGGCTGGAAAAAAAAAAAAAAACAGCTTTTGGAAGTTGAGAAGTTTGGCCTGGCCCCATAAATAAACACATCCGCAAAATTCAGACCAGTCACTCAATAGGATCGCATGGAGACAGGGTGAAAAGTTGAAGAAGGGGTGATGGACATGAAGCAGAGAACAAATGACAGGATTTTCATCACCCAACTGTGACAATGAGAACGGACTCGGCATGTTGGCCCAACCATGCGGAGCCCATTAGCTCACCGTGTGCAAGCCCTCTGGAAGCATTTTTATGCAAATAACTACTTAGAACCACATTGTTACCATCCTGAAGATGAAATCTAAGGCCAACAGGGACAACCTTTGTGAAATAAAATCAATGAATATTTGCTGGTAAACATTTTACCTCCAAATGTTTGGTGGCTTCTTCGTTGCGGGACATTAGGATGAGCTTGGTGCGGATGCTGCGAAAATGCATGTCACTCAGGAGTGTTGCACGCTTTACCGTTGTGTCGTTTGTGGACTTGTGGGAGGAGGGGGAGAAACAAAAACAAAAAACGGGTCAATGTTAGATCTAACAATTATATAGTTTCACAAATTAAGCAAGGGATTTTGGAATTTCCTAACCAGGACAATGAGCTCATGTGTTTGAGCGCTGTAGAAGATGCAGTTGGCTCCAATAGCTTTTCTGAAGTCTTTGTGAATGGCATCGTTTGCACATCTGACAAAAACAAGACACACACACACACACACACACACACACAAGTTAACAGCACTGCTCATTATCTACAGAAAACTGGTGAGAAATCTCAGCATCATAATAAAGCTGGACAAAAGCGGACTCACATGTCCCTCAGGTCTTCTGGGACAGGGATGGTGATCTTGTGAAACGTGTTTCGAGAGGCGGGGCTGTTGGGGTTCAGAGGCCTGATGCGCTCCGACGTGACAATCTCGTTGTATGTGGCATCGCAAGCTGCGTATTCGATTACGTAAAACTGAAACGGCACAACAGACATTTATAACAGTTATAGGGAGTAATGTTTAGTTGTTTTAGTTTAAGAAATTCAAAAAAATCCCCAGGATCAGGCAGTTAGGGTTTTATCTCCTACTATTCAGACTGCTGCTCGGTTAAGAGACTTGGACTGATTGTGGTTTTATGATGATTACTGAAATTAATGTAATTTTAAACCATCAGAGCTACAGTCAAGATTAGCCAATTAAAACCTGGTGCTCAACTACACCAGTAACTGGGAGTAGTTAAGCACCCACTTACTAAACTGTATGATTCAGATTTTTTAAGGTATTATTAAATTATCTGGCCTTTAGGGTTTAAATTGATTAATTTAACAAAGGTGAAGCTAAATCAGGGAAGCTGAGGTTTTCCACTTTGAATAAATGCCCCGATGATGGACTTCAAATTGTTAAGAACTAAATTTTTAACTGTTTGCAAATTAATCTAAAGCAAGAGTTACTTCTTCACCTCTTCTCAAACTATTGTCACACATTCACCAGCCTGAGGTCACGGCGGTCAAACGAATCAACATCTCGGTTCAAAGATACTCATTTGAGTAGGAATCAATACAAACGGTCCCGATTACATTCACCAAACTGCTGTATTTCCTCCAGCAGCAACACTGCGATAACAGAGGCTCAAAGTTCCACATCCCGCAGCGCTCTGTTCTACTGCAGTACGAATTAACGCAGGGAAATACCAGATAGTATCATTTATTTGTATCAGCAGATAATTGGCTAATGGAAGCACATGCTAAAGACAAGCAGCTATCATGAAATGAAATCACCGCAGAACTGAATCAAAATATTTTCAGAAAGAAAATTGGAACAGAATATAAATATAAAGATTAAAGGTTAATGGAAGTATAAAGATTAACACTGAGCTAAAACAAAACAGAATGTGAAACTACAATAAGGGGCAAATTTACAAAAGAAAAATAATACTGTCCAGGTTAGCTAACATTAGTTATACTAAGTGTTCTACTGTTTTGTCAAACGAAGGAAGTGAGATTTTTTAAATTTAACATTTTTATAAATAACAGCTAAATTCTCCCCTACTTATTGGTTTCTGGCCTAATTAAGGAGGCTAAAATGCTGCCACATTGTAATTAGAATTTTGGCAAATCCTGAGCCATTTAAAAAAATTATTTTTCTTAGTATCAGTATGGAATTTGAAGTTTTATTATTATGACAACCCTAAAGAAGGCCAGTTGATTCATATTCCACACATTGAAAGGATCCAAGCAGCTCCTGTAAACCTCACAGTCAGAGTTACAGCTCAGCTCATTTATATTCTGGGTACCTTCAGTTATTTGTATTGTGTGCGTTACATTTAAATTAGCGCTGGGTTTTGTATCTTGACAGCAGTAACCCAAGCAGTATAATATGTTTAAATAATAGTGAAACAACACACACTACAGGGGGTTTATGTCATTGGTGTTTTTCCAGCCTGGCATTGTGTAAACACAGACTCACTCTCATAACACCGAGCAGAAAACTGATAAAAGTCCTGCTTTTATACAGCTGGTTTAGTTCATTATTAATTATTCAACAGCATCCGATTAACATCTGCTTTCTTTTAAGTCAAATGGAAGCAGGAAGTGTATACATACTTTTTCGCCTTCACACAACTTTCTTTTAGCTTTGTTTCAAACAGATGACAGCAACAATGACAGTGAATTCTTTTGTGTCTGCAGGTTATTTTATGTTCCCACCATCCAGCCACCTACCTCCCCCTTCATCATCCTGACCCGTGCTAACCACCACCCGCACGGCTCCTGTTCGTTGGCCCTGGAGTAGACCTACAGAGACCACAGCCGCATTAGTTCAGCAGGAAGTCCAGGTGTGAGACCTGGGTTAGAACGGAGCAGCGCAGCAGTTCTCACCTCCACCTCCTCGCCTTCGCCGATGTCTTTGTGGTAGTCAGCTGGAGGAGGCAGCCGCACGTCGCTGAACGGCAGCTGTCTCTCAGGCTGCCAGCTTCAACATGACGAGACAAACAGATTTAACACAGTTCATGTTAAATACCGTCAGTTTCAGACATTTAACGTCCTGATTGCAAAGATTGCTCATTAAAATTTTAAATATTGTCAGTAATCTTATCTTGGTCTACTGTAATAAATTGTCTTTGTTGTACAACAATAAGATAATCTTTGAATTGGCTAAATATCATTTTCATTGGTATCCAATGCAGTAGTGGTGAACTGATTGCAGTTTTCTGGCCGATCACAGATCTGTAAAACACCCGACCCGCTGATGCCAATTTTGTCATAAAAAGTCATAAAAACAGAGCAACCATGCTTATGCTAGCTTAGCACTTCAGAGTTTGAATCATCAGCAGAGGCTGAACATGAGTTTATTTCAGAATATGGTGACGGGTAAATCCTTCAAATCAAATTACTGATCTTTAAAAAGCCAATTCCAATTTTGTCTAACACCAATTTTTTTTTGTTCCAGCCTGGCGTTGTGTAAACACAATTTGAAAAATTGCTAAATTAAGCAACAAAGCTACTAAGTTGGTTGAGTACTGTTGATTGCACATGTGCTGAGTGCAGACATGACCTTGTTGGCCGGTTTGTCGGCCAACTGCTTTTGGAAGAGCAAAAGAGGGCAGTGGCTGATTTTCAGACATCCTAAGAGATGGATAAAAACAGTTTCACATTAAAGTATCGCCAGATGTGCAAAAATGAAGGAAATCTGGGCCGAATTATTGGTGCACCACAATATTACAGATAGGAGACCACACTGAAATCTAGCTCATTTGTGTAGAACCTCTGATCTGGAACAACTCTTACACTTTTTAATCCATCATTTTTAAGCAACTAAAACTCCTTTAGAATTTCCCCACAGGCAACTTCTCCAACACCTCCATGTGCTCAGAGAAAGTAGAAGGACAAGAAAGGGGGCTGGGAACCATCCCAAAAATGACACTGGGCATGGTAGTACCACTCCTCCCCCCCTCCTATCTCACATACCATTGATCACTATTTTTAGAAGAGCCACACGATCTACACTCAGCCATGAGGGACCAAAGGGAAACCTGGGGGCTGGAGGGCAGTAGGTGGGTTCAGGAGGAAAGGAAGTTGTGGCAGCAGTGTGGTCGGGACAGAGACGGGAAGAGCAGGAAGGTTTTAAAATGACCTGTTCCAAGACACGTACGGACAGCTGCATCTCAGGCACAGGTGCTGAAGAGGGACATTTTAAAGGCCTAGAGCAAAGTCTTGTTACAGTCATCGGATTTCCAACTTACTCTCCTTTGAGCTTTTATTTAAAGACTACAGTTCCTTGCTAAGGCATTCATACCCCTTGGGGATTTTTTTTATATTTTGTCGTGTTACAACTACAACTTTCATTATACATCATTAACACAAATACTGTTTCTTTTTAAACAAATACAAATCTAAAAAGAAGTGTACATTTAAATTCAGACTCCTAAATGCCTCCAGAAGTCACCCAATCATCCCTGCACCATGCTGAGAGCTGATGGTTTACTACAGCACATCCAAGCATATCAATGTTAGAACGTCCTAGTCAAAGTCCAGCCCGGAATACAGTTGAGAATCTGTGACAAAGTTGAAAAGTGACGTTTAAGAATATTCTCCTTCCGGTTAGGCTGAAACTGAGCAACTCTGAAAAGAAAACGGGCACAAACTTCAGCCTGTAGATGAGCAAGTGTATGTTGAAAAAAAAAATTCTAGATGGGGTATCGGTGACAATGTCCCTGACAATGCATTAAGACAAATATATTCAGTTTAATTCTATGCTTTGTGCTCTGAGCGACATCGTACTTTATTTTACATTATATTTAGAATTCCAAATTGCACTTTTTGAACCATTTGAAAGGTTTATTACATTTTATACATGTTTGATCAAGGTAGTCAACTTAGAGAAAGAGAGAAAGAGATACAAACCCAGAGTACTCTCCCCAGTAAGGATACACACATCTATATTGAGATATATGTATATTCATAGAGAAATCTGTATCTCTCACTCTCTCTATATATGAGACATATCTCTATAGAGATATCCATGTACATGTCTACATATCTACATCTATATATCAATATCTTTATGTATAGATAGATTGATATCGATATGTAGATATATAGATATCTATATATAGAATTACATATGTATAGAGACAGATATATAGATATACAGATATCTATATATAAAGAGAGAGAGAGAGAGATCTTGCCCAGAAAGATAGATTTCAAAATTTCTCCCAATTTGTATAGGTTTAGACTTCTAAAAGGCTCTTTTTGTTCCACATTGTTTAAATTTTCTGTTTTGAATTAGAAATAAAAATCTTACAATGGATGAACATGAGTACTGATGTCCTGGCTTTTTAATATCTAAAATGTCCAATTAACAACAACAGAAGCTCTTTTTCCAATTCCCGCCAATCACTCAACCCACACGTGGCCCCACCCCATTGACTTCCTGTTTTGTCTTTGCTCTGACAGTATTTTCCTCAACAGATCTTCCTGGTATTTGAGTTTAGCACTTAGTTAACAATTTATGTCGAACATCTCATCAAGCTGTCTCATTAAGTATTTCTGTAGTTCGATATTTCCCAATTCAGGTTCCTTACATTTGGCCTGACACGTAAACTTTGCTTGACTTGTTGTGGAAATCAGTGCCCTTGGAATAACGCTGCTTTTCCAAGGAAGATACCTGTTCACCGGCTTTTGCTGGAACTGAAGCATCTTGCCCTTCGATATGTTCAGCGGAGAAATTTAGGTCAATGCAAGGTTCTGATTGAGGGATCACTTTCCAAAATGTCTTCTTTCCAAGTTATCAGGCAAAGCTGCCTGATAACTTGGTTTTTCCAACAGAGGACCGTTATTGAAGTCACTATTTTCTGTCAAAAAGGTTAGATCTATGCTATAAAATAACATGCTTATGCTCCTAATTGCACTGACTGAACAAATTAAAGTTGTGTTGAATTTACATGTTAGATGAAGCCTGTGAAGCTATTGATGTATTTAAGTGAGTTTTACTGGTGCAGTTATAAAATAAATCTGTATTTCAGTACAAATATCTGAGAATTAGAATTGTAATGCTGCATTGAAGGCAGAAGAAAATCATTTCTTGTTGTAACCTGACAAAAAGGAGAAAATTTCAGAAACCACCAAATTTATTAACCAATTATTTAATACATGTACACAGAACAGAAAGCTCACACTTACTTGTTTTCAAATACAATAGTGAGTGAGTCTTCATGGACATCTTTGATAAAACCCTGAAGAAAAACACAGAAAAGAAAAAAAAATCATCACACATGCTGTAGAAACATAAGGATCTGGACTGTATGCGTTAGATTTGTGCATGCTGACAGCTGGCTTTCAGGCCAACAGTGTGACTGCTTCTGAAACAGAGCATCTTGGGCCCTGATAGGGAGCCAAGGCGGCACGTTGCTGCTGACACCGTTCTCTGGCTGTGAATTCAGCGTTGAGTGAAAGTCACAACCGACAGCAGAGAAAATTTCCTCTCACTAACAGGATGAAAACGCCTCGGCTCTCTTCGTCTGACTGTCCGTCTGCAGCCTAAATGGCTTGTGTCAAATTCCCTGAGTAGTTTTGAGAAAGAAAAATATGTGATTCACAAATCTGTCACATCTATCACTGGGTAAAAACAGGTGGATGGGGTTTAGAGTGATACTACCATAAATGGGACTAAAGGCTCAGAAGATCCCACTTCAGTGGGAAGCAAGGAAAACTGGTGAGGACGGTTTTGGTCGGGTCATTCCGGACCGTTTCTAGGGGTGAAAAATGAACCGTTTGAAGATGTGGGGGGAGGGTCCCCACACCTCCTGGTTTCTTCAGGAGATTCCCCTGTTGCTCATATGACAGCCAATCAGAGGCAGATGGACGCTCTGGTTCTGGACGCTGGAGGTTTCTTCTGGTTACAAGGGAGCGTTCCTCGCCGCTGTCGCTACATTCTTGCTAATAGAGAATCACAACTAAGCTGAATTGTGCATGATATTTGGAAATTTTGATTATTTTCTTTATTTTAAACCCTAAAATCAAAAATAAATGTTTTTATTTTTCATTAAAAACCAAATCATATAGTATTTTCCTAAAATCTTTTAACCTTTTTTTTTTTTTTTGGACAAAGAAAATCTAATTTTGTTTGGATAATGATTTTGGGGTTGTAAAGGTTGTCAACTCCTGAGCCAGGCAGAGGTTTAAAGAAAAGCTGCTAAAGCAAATGGGGTGAATTAGCAATGATGATGTCATCCAGGACATGTGATGATGTCATCCAGGACATGTGATGATGTCATCCAGGACATGTGATGATGTCATCCAGGACATGTGATGATGTCATCCAGGACATGTCACTGTGAAATATCATCTCTGATGCCCAGATGAGCCATTATGTCATGAAACTTTCATACGACAACAGTCTTCAGTCAGAGGCCTTTCAGATTCACTGCCAGACTGGCTGCTACTGGAGATTCTTCCTGGTCACAGCGTCACCACAACTCTTTGAAGATACTTTGATAAGAGTTATAACAACATTTCATTTCTTTTGGGGTTGTTAAAGTTTTTTTTTTTTTTTTTTTTTTTGTAATTGAATAACCTGGAGTCATATTAATTTTTCTAATCACGAAACATCATTCATGTACAGTTCTAACATATCTGTGTGGTCAAGTCTGTCACCATAACAAATTTTGTTTGATGATACACTGTCCCAGAAGTTGTTGTGATAAACAATAAAATTGTTGTTTTGAGACCATTTTCAAGCTATGCAACAGTAATGGCATAATCATTCAAAAACACATTCTCAAAGATCAATACACTTGAAATTCTATTGAACATTTAACACTGGAATGGGAAGAAATTTTAAATATCCAAAATAAATAAATCAGAAACAACAAATAAAATGAATCATGAAGCCTCAAAACAAAAGTGTCCTTCAAAAACAAAAAAAAAATAAAATCATCAGACTCAAGACTAATCCAGTTTTTGGTAGAAAGAGAAAAACGATAAATCAGCAAATAAAAATTATTGATTTATTGATTATTGCGACAGGCCTCTGGATGCATTAGGAAAACCTGATCAGCTGACAGAGGCTGCAGGTGTGGATGCAGTTCCAGTGAGAAGCAGCCGTAAGTCGTGGATCTACTGATTCTTACTCTGAACCACACAGCAGAAACATTCATCAGTGAAACAATGTAGAATTCAGCACTTCTTCCAACAGCTTTTCACCAACATATTTTAAAAGAGCTGAATTACAAACTTAAGACTATAAAAAAAAAAAAAAGCATTTGTCGACGCTGAATCATTTAAGCATCCATCTCTTTGCTGCCACTTTATCTTTTGGAGCTGCAGCTGCCAGTTCCCCAGTCCCCTCAACAGATTTCAGGTGTTTTTGAAAAGGCCAACTACAGAGACGCTGTGCTACTTGAGTGACAGCAGAAGATGAGCAATTTTTTATTTTTTTTATAGTGCATCTAAGGCATTTTGGGTGGTTTACTGTCTGTTTTATCTCTAATGGGACCAGAGGAAGATGAGGACGGCTGTTTAAAATGGGGATGTCTGTTTTTGTCAGACGTATCATAGAAACAGCTGCTTTTTCTGGAGCCAGCCTCTGAAATTATTTTAATGCAGATGTGTTGGACAACAGAATTACAGCTCATGAAAATGTTTTGCTGATTGAATGACTCTCAGTTTTTGCTCAAAACAAATATGTTTTCACTCTTAGCAGCGTAGCTGAAGGTAAGACAGACTGTATTGGCTGCTGCAGCTCTAACTCCTTTTGTATCCCATGATTTGATGGTATCCCCAACAATAGAACTAAATCAAAAGTCTTCACATTCACAAATGATTAACTGGAAATGTTGCGATATTTATTATCAATGAGCCAAATGAAAACAGGGAGGAACATACTAATGTTAGCTTTGCATTTCAGAGTCTGAATGAAAACATCACCAGGGGCAACACAAGAGTTTATTGAAGAATGCAGCAGCATTTTAGAGAATAGATAGAAACAAATGTTAAAGTCAGAGGGGATCAGCCAGAGAACTGAAGTTCTCTGGCTGATCACAGATATTTAAAAACCCTTACCTGCCGATTCTGATTTAGGCCGATAGCAATTTTGTTTGTTGAACAGATACTAAATATAGATAATAAATCAGTAAGTTGGTAACAGTGGGGTGACTGTTACTAACCGGGGAAACCCAGATGTGAATTTTGCGAAGACAGATAAGATCGTTTTTTCATCGGCCAATCGCAAATTAAGAAAATCAGGGACAATTAAAACGGTGCATCCCTAGTAAAACTATGAACATTTTACAGTATTATTATCTTATTACCTAATATTATTTATGTTAACATGAAGTTGAAGCAGCAGCATATTGAGGCTGTCCTGCAGAAATTACAGGTAGGACGAAATATCCATCATCACCAGGAAAAGCAGATTGTGCCAATTCCAGAAAGTCTTTATGAGTAAGTTGGGACAGAGTCACCAGCTAGAGTTAATTTATTATAAACAGATTACATTGCTTTTAACAAAGTGTCCTGATTGGGACCATGTGTTCATTTTAAAGGACGCTGATCTGTAACAGGGACAGAAAATCATGATCATGAACAGCATTTTCAGTCGATTAATAAAAAACAACAATAACAAAAAACACCAACTAAAACGGCCAAATAATAATGTCTAGGCAGAAGACCAAATGTATGTTTAAGACAAGTACAGAAGTGGATTTGTCTTCAAAATTAATCCGTTTCAAAAATGCCGCAGGGCAAAGTAAAGTCAAGCCCTCCTGATATTATGTGACTCATGGAAAGGAGTAGAAATCTTCATCATGAAGTCAGCAACCATGTGGTTGATTAAAGCCACAAGCTCTACAACCTTCATCCTGGACAAATAACCCAAAATGTGCCAACTCACTTCCCTCATATGAGAAGTCTAAGAGTTGATCCTGAAGAAGTTGGGGTCTTCATTTTCAGCTTATTTTACACCTGCTGAATTCTACAGAGCCGGAACCCCACACACAGTGCGGGAAATTAAATGTAAACCAGTCCATGTAAAGGAGGAAAGCAGTGGAATAATGAGGGCAAATGGTTTTGGAAAGTGTTCAACCACGTCAGAGTCAAACCTGTCACCCTGTAAAACAAAAACAACAGGTGAAGCAACGTGGGAGTAAATATAGGATGGTTGCTTAAACTGTGATGTGGGCTGGCAGAGCAGCTGAAGGCTTCTAGAGAAGAGCCATGTGTGTCAGAATACCTACTGTTTGGTCTTAGAACGCAAAATTTACAGAATTAAAGGAGAAGTCAAGTTTGATATTTAATTAGATTTTTCTCTCAGTGAGTAACAGCAGCAGAGGCTTACACAGAAATGAAACAGAAAGTATTTATCTGTATAGCAACTGTTCCTCCTCAGGGCTGCCTTCTTCATTGGGAGTCAGAACACAAATATATTCTTACAGGAGCTGCACAACAGCTGGCTGCTTTTTATTAGCTTGCTCCGGGTTTAAATGCCTTCATCCCGTGTTTTCTCAATATATGGGGACTTTTTTCTTAAATATATTGAATTTATATTACCATTTGCTCATAAAGAATAGACATGAACCATGCATGCTGATGACAAGTGTACTTAGCTTCTCAGCTAAGACCAGCTAGCGGTTATCCTGAATGGAACACATCTGCTCCTCCTCCTCCTCACTAACGTTAGCTGAGAAACACTGTGCTAGCTTATCTCTCAGGAGGGGGGGAAAACAAAGCAGCCTTTCCATGAAACAAAACTTTAAAATGGGACAACAGTAAACAACCACTGCAAGCAGTTTACCTTGTAGAAGGCCCCGTTCGAGCCGCGAACCTCCACGGCCAGCCCGTCCATGCTTTTCGATAGATCCCCACGGCTGTGCTTGGCGTCCGTAACCGTTGCGACTCCCTGCGAGTCCGGAGCCGTTCCCACCCCCAGCTTCACCGGCCCTTCGCCGCTCTCCGGCAGCCTCTGGATTTCCAGTGTTTCGGGTGGAGGAGGAGAAAAAAAAAAGGTGGAGGGGGCAGAGGTGAAGGGGTTGGGGGAGATGGGTGTGATGGGTGTCACAACAAGCAACGCAACGCAGATGCTGTCCCCCCTGGCAGGCAGTTTAGTTTAGGAAGGAGTGTGTGGAGGGGGGACCGTTATTTGTTTTTGTCCAAATGTGAGATTCAGAGCTCGCGAGCTAAACGGCTCCAACGCGAGCGACTGCTGTAGTTTCGACTTGCGCGAGAAGAAGCACGCTAAATGATGTTAGCTGCTGGATAATTAGCTGGGAGGCTAGCTATCACAAGCCAGACGCCGTCAGTTTTCAGGGATGAAGCTAGCTTGGCTAGTGTCTAGTAGCCGGTTTGCGTTCTGTTAGTTGGACGTGTGGCGCAGACGCAGCATTGAGATATTTCACAGAAGTCGTCACCGGGGGTGGTTTCTTCAGCCTCTGGTGTAATTTTTCGGCGGTGTGTCTTTCTCAAATTCCGTCTGAAATGTGCAACCGCCCGGCTACTATTCCTCACCAGCCGCCCGACCCCTCAAACACACGCTGATAGAGTGAGTCGAAGAGGGTCTGAATGACCTCGAACACCCCACCCCTTCACTCGAGAACCTGCCCTAAAGAAAATATGGGTTTCCAATTGGTTAAAATGTTCGTCAATCAATCATCTTTATCAGTTATTGGCTCAGCAAATAAGGGTTGGTCTCTGAGTGGGACCAATAACTGAAGGCGATTCACATCCTAACACAATTCATTGGTTTGTTCCCGTGTCAGTTGCAATTTCACTCACACTGACCGACTCCCGTACTCCATATTACCCACTCATTGATGAGAGAGAGTGGGAGCATTCCTTAACAGTCGGCCGGCGACCGGCTCGGCTGGAATTAATGAAGACAGGGAGTGGGAGGAGTTTTTTTGTTACTTAAACCGTTCAGGAAGAGGTCATATATAACTGGTGAGTGATTAAGTAATATGAACTTATTTGTGTAATTTAACAACAGACAACGTGAACAAGGGACAATGAAATAGTGAAACATTCTTAAAGAAATGTTGATGGGTCAATACGTCTGTGCACCATAATATTGTTTTGTAGTTCAGACCCACCAGATACATTAACTTTGGGCTTGAAGCCCATTAGACATCGGTTATGAATAACCCATACATTAAAACATCTGTTTCTCTCTCACTGGATTCCACACAGTTGAGCTTAACAGACAGATATACGAACAAGAAAATTGGGTGAGATTTTCTGGCACTGTACTACACAGGCTCAGCTCTTATCTGCCATAGAGGGGCTACATGTGCCACGCATGGAGTTCCACAAGGAACCTATTTATAGGGGAACCTTTTTCAACAGGATTCATCTTGCTCAGATTATGGAGTACTACAACAACGTATCTTACAAATGCTTTCCTGATGGCATAACTTGTATCTCATTGTCACTGCTTCAGTATAGTTCACTACTTTCTGTAAGCCATGTGTGCCGCTGCCAGCCTTGGCCAGGATTCTCTTCCAAAAGAGATTTTTAATCTCAATAGAATTGTCCTGGTGAAATTAAGCTTATGGCTTCTAAATATGACTCATGTCATTATTCCACCTTTCCCATAAAAGTAATTCATCATCAAATCTTTAGTATGCCTGTATGCCTTCTATAATGATCTATTTCCTTTTTTTGTGTATATGTCCCAGACTAAGGCACCCCAAGTTTAAATTCTCCAGTATATTCTATATGGCATTTTTTCTCTTTCTTGAAGCTACATTTTTCCTGGTGTTTTGTTTAGCTGTGACACCTTCCTGGATCAGAGGATCGGCTGAGCTACTGCTACCATCAACTTTACTTTCTCGTTCTATAGATGTTAGACTTGTGGTCTTTCATGATTTGACCCTGAATCGCTCATTTACATAACCATTGGCTGAGCTATTCCAACTAACTGATCTCTTTCAGTCTACAAACCTGAAAAGTGGCTCAGAGTTCATCTATTTAGCTGTCTTTTTCTCCTTAATGAAGACTGAGAGCTACTGCTATTAACTCAGTTACTCTCAGGTGCCCATCTTCATTAAAGTCACAATTCTGAGAAAAAAGTCTGAATTCTGAGATTAATATCGAAATTCTTATTTTTAGAGGCTCTAATTTTCTTCTGTAGATTATAGCAAATGAAAAAAAGTCTGGGGATTTGAACTTTAATCTTAGAATTCTGACTTTTATTCTTAAAATTCTGAGAAAAAAAATCTGAATTCAGATTTTAAAGTGAAATACCTGAGAAGAAAGGTCTGAAATCTGATATTAAATTGAGAAGTATTTTGTTTTTGTGGCTCTAATCCTCTTCCGTAGATTAGAGCCACCATAGGAAAAAAGCTATTGTGAGTATTTTTTTACGCTACATTTTCATTGGTCGTTTTCTATTTTAGATTCTGGTACTTATTTATTTAATTTTTAAAACAGGTAAATCTAGAACAAAAATCAGGCTGGTTTCATCATTTTTTCATAATTACTGTTTGACCACAGGGGTCTGTTCTGCAGAACATGAAAATACGCAGATATCCAGCATCGCGTCAATTCAAATCAATATACAGGGTAAACAACGCAGACATATCGACTTACAAAATAAAAAAAAGCAGGATTACACGGTGGTTGTAGTAGAAAATGGGACTTTAATCTCATGATTCTGACTTAAATTTAATTCCGATCAAAGTCAAAATTACCTTGTTACTCTAAAAAAATTAAAAATCTGCATTTTGAGAAAAAAATCAGAGGGTGTGTCCTCTTCCGTAGCACATCATATTATAGCCATAACATGTATTCCTGTCTACCATAAACATTAATAAGTAGTAATTTCTACAATAACTACAATAAAAGTCTTAACTAAATTTTTCTGTGATATGAACACTCGCTCCCGGATATGGAATGACGTTTTAGAACCTGTGTTTACGCTCTGTGGCCATGTGGGCCAGTTAGCCAATAGAACGACCCGCTGTAGGCGCGCGCAACTTGATTCAGGAAGCTGTCGTTGCGTTGTGGCGTCGCTATTTTTCTTTTATTTCTCGTGGGAGAAACAAAGTAAGAAGGTCGAACCAAATCTTTTGATATTATTAAGCTGCTAAAGGAGGAACATCGAACAGAAAAAAAATGTTCGTTGGGATCGAGACCACGAACATATTAGTGCTGGGGTCGGGAGACAATTTACATCAACAGGGTAAGGAAGGCTTTACGCTGGCTTGAGTAGGACTCATTTGAAAAGTATGCTTAACGAGTCAACATTTTGTTTTTAAATATTGCAATTTACCTACGTGCTACAAACATTAAAAGTTAAATATCACGGGGAAATTTGCCACTTTGCGGGGTTTTTTCCACTAAAATGTTATGGCGTCGATTAATTGAGGCTTTTCCCTTCAATCTTTCTACGCAGTTCTCGCCTCCTTCCCGCTGTGTGACGTGACAGAGGAAGATTTGACCCAGAATCCTCAGTTCTGTAAACTCTTGGCCACTCTGACTCAACATGTGGACAGAAGTGGACTCACTGTCCCACTTAAAGCAGACCTGGAAAGGGTAAGAAAGTTCTTCAGCTTCCAGGTTCTGGATCCTGGTTCTGAGTTTTCTTCTGAAGAACGTACATCACGTTCATCGTACATCACGTTCTTCAGAAGTACATCCGGTTACATCACGTTCTTGATTTAAATCCTCTGTATAAAAAAGCACAACACCTTTTTCCCTCACTTTGAGAACAAATTAGACAACAAATTGTTTCCGTTTGCTTGATGCCAGATTGATTTGATTCTTTATTTTAAATAAATAAATAACTATATGTAATATAATATAATTACTTTGCCTTTAAGCAATTTGGGAAATCCCAGATGATGTTGTAATAACTTTGTAAACCTTGAATTCACAGTATTTGATCACAACACCATTTGACGTATCAATTGTGAAGTGTGGGGGAAGTAGCATCATGCTGTGTGGACGTTTTGATGCAGAAAATACTGGTGCACATAACACTGTGAGAAAATATTGAAGCAATATTTAAAAAAAAAACTTTCAGATGTCAGAAAATAAAACTTTAGGCACAAAGGAGAAATACAAATAGACAAATAAAAGCTATTTGTACCATAGGGAGATAATCTGTCTTATATTATACTCTCACATACCGCAGCTTTAACACAGTTTACTTATTTATCACAATTTATATTATTAATGCAACTTTCACTTACTGGTATATTAAATTATATTACATGGTTTCATAATATTGTGTGGCTTCAGAATTTATGGTCCTATCTCTTTGAAAGACCGTCTGAGCAGCACTGGATCACCGAAATTTTGCAAAGTGTGTTTTCAATTGAACTGTCTGTTATGATTTTACCTTTCTGGTTTTCCAGACTTTCTACTGTGTGTGGTGAGTGATGGTTCTGTGCCGTCAATCTCAGCATTGCTCATTAACAAAAACAGAATTACAGAGTCTTGTTGAGCTCTAAAGTCTTAGTAAAACAAAGTCTTCATAGACAAAAATCTAGTTACTTGGTTACTTGTGTAGTAGAGACGTAAAGGGAG